TATTTTAGTATTTTGACAATCCAAACAGTTTGAGGGAGAGACCAGAGATGTGGCAATATCTATATAGGGAAAGCTCCTTATTAGTATCCTATACTTTTGGGGTTGTCTCAAGTCAGCCCCCAAACTTCAAAATGTGCCAATGCAGTACTTGAGCTCTTAGAAACTATAAAAAAGTATGGACAGGCTCAATGCAGATTTCTGATTTCCACTGCAGAGCTACAAGTATTCAAAATGGCAATAACCCACACTCTATACACCAACACCCGCCCGTAAATTGACATCAATTCCAAGCTAGCACCTACCCCAATAGTACTTTGGGCCTACAAATTCCGACCCTGGGCTGAATCGTCATTCTCCCTAGAAACTATCAATTTAGTCCTCTTCATTAACGGTTTGTCAGTTATCTATATCACATGATGACATGTTTTACTTAAAAATTTTTAAAAATGTCAAAACTAGCCTTCAAAGAAGACATTGTTTATTATCTTCTACCATCAAAACTTAGTGGGATTTCTTCAAGTTCATCCCTCTTTTCCACCTTCAATGACATTTTGCCAAGTACTTAAAGAAAGTTTTAATTTATGGAAAGGGATTTGAAATGCTGCTAAAAAAAGAAATGTTTCAAACGACTGTAGTGCTATCATTCCCAGCTTGTAGCAAGAGCTGGAATATCAGTTACCGGTGGTGCAGCTGCTGCACCTTCTCTATGTTTGATCCAAGTTCATGAGGAGATGTAGATTGTTTCAATATGCGACAACATTCCCATGCTTTCACGGTGAGAAAGCTATTGGAAAGACGATTTTTAAATACAACGTGAATAAAAACAGACCCACTCATACCTTGTACTGAAATTTAATTAATTATAATTGGAATAATGAGGATTGAACACTAGATCATTTGGTCAAAGTGGCTCTAATACCATTTCAAAGAACCATTCAACCTAAAAGTTTAAACTGTTAGGTGAGGTTCTTGAATAGGTTGATATTCTCTAACAATATGCATGAGAAATTTGTGGAATTTCTCAATTACATCAATAACACGGAACGGGATTTGTTCCTCATTACCCAACCAGCTTCCCCATTGCCTCTGCCCACATGATATCTAATATGCCAACAGGCTTGTTATAGCGGCTGGATCAGTCACACTGAACGGAAAACGCTTGAATACACACCTGAGATTTCCTGGTTCGTCTTTGTAAGCATCAACAACTGTCTAAGTGTCGCAAATCAGCAGGAAAGAAAGGTAAAGGGAAAATTGACAGAATTTGAATTGTCAATTGAATATTTGACACACAGAGAGAGAGAGAGAACTATAAAGCAGGGTTTGACTTCAGTCAATGCAATGCTCATTTTGGCAGCCTTTACAACTTTGCATTGGAAATATCTCCTTATTTATGTGCTTTATATCATGGGAAGATATTCTCAATACAAAGTTGCAAAAGGCTGTTCGAATGGTGTGAGCAGGGATTGCACTAACCAAAGTCAAACTCTATTAAGGGAAGGATGAGTAATAAAAAAGGGGTTATTGCTTGGTATGATGATAAAATCTTGGACTTAATCTAAGAGCAGCCATTTTATGCAAAATAAACAAAAAAAAAAGAAAAAAAATGTTTTTTATTATTATTATTTTTAACTTGACCTTAGGGGGAGGGGTAGCCCTTCTCCCAAAACCCAGACCTGATAAAAAACACATAAACCTGGTCGTAACCGAAACCCTAATAGGGTTTGTAAGTAGTAGAGTTAGACCCATAAACGGGGATGAGTTTTGCCTGCCCCATATTTGACCCCGAATTTAAATTTCTCGTTCTGTATTCGTCTCAAACGCCGAATTTAAAAATCGTAATCCCATCCACGTCCTTGTGAGAAACGGGATCCCTGACTTTGCCCCACCCCACCTCAGTGATTCTTATTTGTATATTTATTAATTTTTAATTTATTTTATTTTTTTGAAACCTAATTAAAATTATTTTATATTATGTAATATATATTATGCTATATAATATAGCCGGGGCAGGGTGGACAGATACCACTCCGCCCTATCCTTGACCCAAGAATTTCGGGTTTTCTCCAAAACCACCCCAAATCCTGATCAATGGTAAAAAAACTTGCCCTGATCGGGGCAGGGCGGAGCCCCACATGTACGGGTCTAAATGTTAATAAGTTTTACCAGGTCTGACCCCATTATAATTGACGATACTTTAGAGAGTGGTAAATGACAAATACAATAAACCTATTAAAATTCTCTCTCTCTCTATTCTTCAAACAGTTATAGCAAAGACCCTCTCTTTGTCATAGTGACAATTATCACCTCAACTTTTATTTGTAACAAAGACTCCCTTAAATTTTTACCTTGCATAAATAATCCTTGGCTGTTAAGTCAGATGACAAAAGGTGTTAAATTATCAAAATATTCATCTGAAATTTTTTATTTTCTTTCTTCACCCAAACAATTATAGCAAAAACCCTCCTATGTTGCGTCTCCATCACTTCTCACCCGAAAATACTTGTAGGCCTTAAATTGGTGCAAGTTGTAGGCCCTAAATTGCTTGTAGATGGGCCGTTAATCGGGGAATCGATCATGCTGGTCTGGACCTCCGACCATTGCTCCACAAGGTTGTTGGAATTTGTGGCTTGGGACTTGATGGCACTTTGACTTTTAAAAAATTGATAGAATCACAAATTGTTCAAATAAATAAGAAAAAAAACATAATTTGGGGATTTAAAAAGATTTGAACAGACAAATGAGGATCTTATCGAAGTTAACTAATGAAATTTAAACGAATGAGGTGTTTGCCGCAAAGCGAAAGTTCAGAGAAACTAATTGTCACTAAGGCCCATAATACAATGGGCCCAAATGTCCTTTATCCGTTGTACTGGTGCAAGTCAGACAAGCTGGGCTAGGTTGCTAGGTTTTAGGTCAAGCAAGGCCCATCCAAATAATTGGGCCTACAGTCTGAGCTCGAACCAAACCCAAGGTAAAGCCTTATTTACGTTGTATAAAGTAGTGCTGGGTTCATAATTTTAGGCCCAGAGGCTCAGGCTTGGGCCGAAAGCACTAGGCCCAATTTTTTTCGGGCTGGGCTCGGGCTTTCTCAAAAAAAGCCAAGCCCGGCCCGAGCCTGGGCCTGATTTGATACTATATATTAAATAATAAAAATATATGTACAATATTTTTTCTTTGTCCTTCTCATTTTTTTCAAGTAATAGTGAAATGTTTATTATTTTTGAGTTTTAAAGGTTTTTAATATAAATAAAACACTTTTTATTGAACAAAAAAAGAAAAAAATTCTGTTTTCAAATTTCTAGTCGGGCTCGGGCTTGGGCTCGGGCTCGGGCTCGGGCCTCAATGTATTCTGTTGATACATATACAAACCCGGGCCGGCCCATGAACAGGTCTAAATAGGAGGTCCCACATATTAGGCTGACGTGGGACACCATGATTGCTGATTAGTGCAGCATCCTTAGTAGCCGTCAAGGATCCAGACCCGATTATCCTCGGGTTCTCGTTGCGGTCAATGGTGAGCTAAGCTCCACATGACATGGCAATTTGGGGGTCCGACTATAATATGGAAAACCTTATCATATCTAAAACCTCTGCTACTGCCACGTATACAGCAGTTACCTGAGTTATTTAAGTAACCGGTAATTATATTTTTTTATATGTTAATTAAAATTTAACACTTTAACCTATCCGTTAATCTCTAATCTTCCGTTACCCATTCTTCTATCCTTCGAGTTCCCTCTTCTGGTCAACTTCTTCGAGCTCCCTCTTCTGGTCGAACTTCTCCTTTGAGTTTCCTCTTATGGTCAACTTCTTCGAGCCCCCTCTTCTGGTCGAACTTCAAGAGAACAAATTTGCTCTAAAATAATTTACAATACATTTTTTGGCCTGAAGATCAATGGCTAATTCATTCTTAAGAAGCTTTACCCTTTGATATGAGGTTCAAACATTTTTAGCTGAATAAATGGGTACTTAAATTATTCAGTATTTGATCATGATAAGTTTCATCCTGAATGGTAGAGGCACTAATGAATTTCTGTAAACTTACTGCACATTAACAAAGTATGAATTGAAGTTTGACAACTGTATGAAATTGACATTAAACGAGCAATGGAATTCATTTCTAAGCTGCCAAAAAACAACCTAAGAATCAAGAATCAACCTATAAATATACATGTATTCCAAGTTTATTTATCATTAATTCCACCGATACCTCGTTGTGTAGATCCCTGCTGCAAGTTCTCACTCCAGCACTTATTCTGGTCTGTCAATATGACCCGCAAGCCACCCGCAAGAGAACACGACTCGTCATTCCCACTCCAACATATACACAAATGTAGAGAAGAGGGATCTAATAACAGTGTCTAGCGAATGAGATAACAAACCTAGAAATGTATTTGCTGGTTGGTGATGTCCACGGAGAGCATAAAGAAAATCAAATATGATATCGAATATAGAGAGAGAATGATAGAAAGACAGAGAAAGAGGAGATAGAGATTTACCGGTGGTTAGATGCCGCCGCAGGTTCCGTCCTCGCCGGTGATGTGAATTTTGAGTTAGAGAGAAAAAGAGACGACTGTGGGAGAGATTCATCCGAGGAAGAAGAACGAACGGAAAGACGTTAACGTCTTTTTTAATTGTTGTTGAAATCGGTCACCTGCGATACCCTGTATTCATCAAAACAGTCGAAGGTGATTGGTCCATCTCATCCGATACTTTTTCCATATCATAGATTTTCCAAATCGTTTGTGGTCACCATTTTCTAAAAAGGCGGAAGGCGGTGCCTCCTTTCCTTCGCATAACTCTGTGTGCGAAGAGAAATGAGCGTCTAGAATTTTCTTGTGCCAACCTTTCGTAATATGCTCATTGAATGGCCAGAGATTAGTGCTACATCCATCTAGATGCTCGTCAAAGATAGCAAATCTAAGATAGATCAGAGATTGTAGAATATATAGTCCACGTGTCACAAATATAGCCTGGAATTAGAGACTTCGGACATGGGTGACATTAGCAGAAAGGCTGGATTCTTTCATCTTTACTTTAATGGCTGATGAACTATTACTGATAACAAAACTTTGAAAAATGGTGGCAGCTTTTGCTGTTTCTCTTCCAAAATCCAGTGTTTTGCATAACTCACTTTCCCAGAGAGACCCAAATTCTACCTTCCTTGGTGCATCCTTGAAGGGTTTATCTTTGCAGTTGAAACCCAGGAGCAAGAGAAGAGATCCCATCAGTTTGGTGGTTGCTTCTGCTACCACCACCAGCAGTAATGGCGGAAGGTTTTATTTGAATTTCACAGGGTTTCCTTTCCCACTAGGTCCTTTTCTCAATAGACGCACCATAAGGACGGAGGTAAGCCCTTAGATCCTTTCTGATTAATGTTCCCAACTTGGGTTATCAGTGTTGTCCTCTGGAATTCTGCTTGATAAACGAATCTTAGTATTTCTGGGGAGATGAACGAATGAACTCTATACCTACCTAGCTGATTTTGAGTCTCGATAAATTTTGAATGGTTGAGCATTTCTCATGTATATGTTTTGGAATCTAAGAAACGCTCTGATGTGGTGGTAGCTTGACAAGTAATGTACCCAAGACTTTTCGTTTTTAACTACAATTGGTTACTAAAAATTGAATGATACTGATTTAATGTTGGTTTCTTTGAGGAAGATATGTCTTTATTGGGTAGAATAGTATCAGATTTTTGTGATATTGTCTTGTGCTCAGTGACATCGCACTTACATACATGCCCTCTCCAGGCCGTCAAAGATTGCATATGGCTATTCGAACAGGAGCAGGCCTTAGGCTTCAGCAGCGTTTCAACAAACATCCGAATGACTGTCATCAAACTCAAATCTGGAGGACTATGGATCCATGCACCCATTGCTCCAACCAAGGAGTGCATTCAGGTTTTTGATTTTCTAGTTCTCTCAGTCAAAAAATGCAGTGGTCAATGTATAGAAATTTTCTTTAAGATGAAATATTTGGATAGCTAAGCAGAAATACTACCATGTGTCACCACACACATGCAATGCCAAGGATATAGTTAAATTTATAATTATGGTTCTCCATTTGAGCATGAGGAGTATTGGAGTCAATGACGGAGGATGTGTATAAGCTGGCTTTCCTCTGCTTAGGATGTTACATGGAACCTTCGCAAGAGGTGTCAGGAGCCACCATTCATTTGGACAAGGGATCTAATACACCCAAGAGATCTCCTAGGACAGAGAAAGGGGGGGGGGACAAAAGAACAATGGAATGACAAAGAAGGAGAAAGCAAGAAAGCATAAAGACAAAATGACCCTAACAACTCATGTAAATCACCTTCAGTTATATGAGAAAGTATTGGCAATGGTCCAGGGAGAAGTCAATCCTTCAAATGAACTACTTTTTTTTTTCCAACATGGAAGAATCTCCTTGTTGGGCCTGAGCACAATATGGAAGATAAAGATCAAAGTATAGGTTCATAGGTTCACATCTGAGATATTTTTGTGAGTTATGACAATATCAACTCATATGGTCATTATCTTTAATTCTTTCGCATTTCCACATGTTTTGTATCATTTATTTAGCATAACTTTTTTTCCCTGTTCTGAAGTGATCCCTTTTGTTTATTGTCAGCTTGTGAAAGAATTGGGGGCTCCAGTAGAATACATTGTCCTTCCAACATTTGCTTATGAGCACAAAATATTTGTTGGTCCTTTTTCTAGGAAGTTCCCTCGTGCACAAATATGGGTAGCACCAAGGCAATGGAGTTGGCCTCTCAATTTGCCACTTGAGTTCTTTGGAATCTTCCGTGCCAAAACCTTGAAGGATGAGGATTTGTCCACCCCGTGGGCTGATGAAATCGAACAAAAAGTTCTTAGCTCACCAGAAGTTGGTAATAAATATGAAATGCACCGGCCCAAACTCAAACTTTTTTTTGTGAGATCTTGTTGTAACTTATGCATGGCTTGTTTCAGGAATTGGTCCCTATGTGGAAGTAGCATTTTTCCATAAGCGTTCAAAAACATTGCTTGTGACAGATGCTGTAATTTTTGTCCCAAGGCAACCTCCAGAGTGTATTAGCAAAGAGTCCTTGTTAGCATCTGCAAAAAATGGTCTAGCTGTAAAGATTCTAAGCAAAGGAAAGGAAGTTCCAGAGGAACCAGTTATCGACAACAAGATGAACCGTCAGAAAGGTCAGTCATCATTATTTGCTAACCGACTTCAATACATGATTCATCCTACGTTGAACTTACATGTTTCTTAGTCTTTCAAGTTCTGTATAAAATTCGGGGGAAGCTAGAAACTTTTTTTCATCTATTCCTTTTCACTCATGGGACAGGGTGGGAGAGAATGGTTCTCCAGATCTTGTTTCTAGGTCCATCAAACCTTTTGGAACCTACTGCCAGCTTTGCTCAAATGTCACAGAAGCTGATTGTTTCACCCATTGTCAAGACACTGGTTTTCAGTAAAGTTCCTGAAAAGGTATGTAAACATTGACTGCCTAGGGTGTCCTAGTGCATGTATTTGTTTAGATGTTTTTTCCCCTTTGCAGCAGCCTAACTAGTTTCTCTTTGGTATGCCTTATGACACAAACTGTTTTTGCTAGCTGCATAGGATCTTAGGTTCCTGTTCTACATGAAATTTCTGTCAGATTTTGGGTAGAAATTTGTAATCAGTCAAAGTATTTTCAATGTCTGCAGTCTGCACATACCTTTGGTTATTAGCTTTAAATTTGGAAATAATTGTTGTTTTTAGACTGAGACTGCTACAAAGAAAACAAGGGTATGCCTAAATGCCTCAAAGGGGACCTTGAATCCCTTAACAATATCCCTCAAGGAGCTACTTGTTAGGATATGGCTTCAATAGCGGGCTAAATGTTACTTTTAGGAGTGCACTCCAATTCTAACTTTACTACATGGTTCTGGTGGCCAATGTTTTGTGGGTTTTGGTTAAGAAAATATAGGAGGGAAAATAAAATAATAATAGCTTTTTGCTTTTGGGGGAGTTTCACCTTGGGAAACATGATTGGATTTGAGCAGTGTTTTAAAAGGCGTGGGAGGCGTATGTCTGGAGGCACGTTCCAGACAAGGTGCTCCCAAAACACCCTGAGGCATATGCCAGAGGCGTAGACACCTCTGAGGCATACGCTCTTGCGCTTTTTTCATGAGGCGTGCTAGAGGTGTACGCCTCATGCACATCTGATATAAAAAGACAGAAAAAAAAAGAAAAAAGAAAAAAAAGGAAAGGAAAGGAAAGGAAAAGAAAGGGAAGGGAAAGAAAAAGAAAGGGAAGAAAAAAAGAGAAAAGGAAAGGGAAGGGAAGAAAAGATAAGGGGAAAGAAAGTGGTTCTACCCCTGCCCTTGCTTCGCTCGCTCGCCTCCGCTTCAACAAGACCCCCCCCCTTTCAACTAATGTTATGCATTTATTAAAAATAAAGAAAAAATGAGATCCCCCCTTCCTCTTCATTCTCCTCCTAACCCCCCTCCTCTTAAGGAGGCTTACGCCTCCTTGTGTTCAGGAGGCTTACGCCTCTTGTGTTCTGTACTAACCTCACGCCTCTAGGTAGTGGAACGCCTCACGTCATGCCTCCACGTTTTAAAACATTGGATTTGAGGAGTCTATAAACACCATTAGTTGTTTGGTTGTGGAACATTCTATGGGTTTGAAATTGTTGTAAAGATATTTTTCCTATTTGAACTTAGAAGGATGTTTCTTTTGGTGAGAAGAGAGTTCTGTCTACTTATGTTTTGATTTGATTGCTATCTCCCTGGAATATTAGTAAATGTTCTGATAATCTGATTGCCTTCAGTCATCAATACAGGAATATTTCCAAAGAATGCAAGAACTTATTTTTGTGTGATTTTTATTATTTTTTCCAATTGTTTTCTCTAGTTCTGCATCACCATCAATTCCTGAATCAGTCTTCCGTATAGCACCATAGAGTATTTAGAACTGTTTTCCCTATGGATGGAGATTTCTGCTTAACTAGAATGGGAACTTCAATATGGAAATTACCATGACAATTGCATTAAAAGACACTTGTTTGGTAGCTAAGCCAGAGCTACAGTTTTGCCCTATATTTGGTGAAAATGTATATTTCATGTTTGATTCAGGATGTCTGTGCATTATTTTGTCTATAAGCTGTATGTAGTCATTTCATTTTCATAAAATTGAATCACTTGGGATGCTCCATGCTTAAATAATGCTTTAAGTCTGAAATTGTATTTTGAAAGTATGTTGTTTACTCAGTGAACAGAGTTGGACCTCCAGTCAATAACATGTAATCACATTTATCTGTTACCATATATAAAAAGGGAGGGTTAGAACCTTTTTTGTGTACTTCTCTAACATTTCCTTTCCATAATTTTAAACCAATGAAGTTTTCTTTTATTTCCATTATGTTCTCAGCCTCCTCTCTTGTCATCTTTATTCCCATTATTTTCTTTGATTTCAACTTTTGCCTTGGTTACAAATCAAATGTAATTAGCAGCAAGTGAACTGAACAATTTGTAATTTCCATTTAATGTGGCCAGTTTTAAACCTTGAGACATATACAGTAGACACTACTTTTAGATTAGTAAAAATTCATGTATTTACGTCTCCAATTATTTTTACCCACGGACCTTCTACATGCTTCAAATCTCCAGGTTAGAGATTGGATTGACAGGATTGCCCGAGACTGGCGGTTCAGGAGAATTATCCCAGCCCACTTTGCTGCTCCAATAAGTGCAAGCAGGTCAGATTTCTTGGCAGCCTTTGGGTTCCTGGATGACCTATTGGGTGAACGTTATGTTACAAGGCCTTCACTTTCTCTTCTGTTCACATCCATTATGGGTAAGGCAGCCAGTTACTTCCCTCCAGATGACATGAGGACCCTGTCATCTCTTGACGAGTTTCTAGTTTCAGTTGGAGCTGTGAAGAAAACTGTGTCAGGCAGAAAACGGTGACATAGAGTTACATGTAAATCCCCTTGTAAGGTCTTTTCCCATTTTACATGAAGTTTGTATATGTAAAGCTAGCTTTATCAAGTGATACTATTTTCTTTCCTTCTTTTTCACTGTTTTGTTGTACTAGCATATGTATTGTAGGGTATACATCTCTAGGATACTTTTGAATTTGTTAGCTAGAGATCAAATCTTGGTAGGTGCTGAGGAGTCATAAAATGACAAGTGAGGACGCATTTTGTTAGCATTGTAATGTTAATAGCAGAGTTTTTTGCATGTTGGTTGCGTGATGAATCATCCTATCCACCTATTATGTAAATTTCTTGATATTTTCAACCTTTAATAATTAAGGCTACATATTCATCATACCAAGGAGGTCATCAGTTGCTTGGCTTTATTTCACTTTCAGACGTTGATGATAAGGAAACCCAAACCCACATCCCTACATATATGAAATTATCTGTTTTTTTTTTTTCCTTTTAGGTAGAAAAGGAAGCCCAGAAACTGGAGCTTGGTTTCTGAAATTTTGTTGGTGTATAAAACATAGACTCTCTTCATAGAGAACCTTGTCCTTGAAAGCTTACCTACTCTTCACCAAAAGAATATGCCACGACAATGAATCGCAATAATGGAGAGGAGCTAATAAAAGTAGTGAAACACCCCTTTTTACGTGCCCTAATGATTTCCTTTCCTTGTTGTGGGGTTGATGTAATAAGCAGGGGTAAAAGTAAAACTTTTAGTGGATTCACACTTGATGGTAGGCACTGGAAAATAAGATCTATGGACCCACTGTAATTTCTAGCATACTTGATTGTCATGAGTTACCACCCTGGTTACCAGGGCGTTATATGGGTGGGCATGATCTCCACCCTCTAAAAGTTAATAGCTTGGATTTCCGTTGTAAATAAGTGTTATGTTAGAGTGTTATTAGAGCAACTCAAATGCTGCAAGACTTGAACTGGACATAAACTGAATGCTCACTGGGTCATGGTTTTGCTGGTTAACCGGGTTGTTGGCCCGTTCAAACCTGAAAGCCATCATTTAACCAGGACCCAGAAAGGTCACTGGGCCAATGCTTGAACCATCCGGTCCAACTATAGAATTTGGGTTAGTCATGAGTCTTAAGTTCTTAAATGCATTAGAAGATGACAGTGCTTTACCTTCTTCATTGTAGATAGTTGAAAATTTGTCAAGGAAAAAGATCAAGTTATCGTTGTCATGGGGTCCATAGCAGAAACCCAATACAATCATACAAAGCTAGATGGGAAAAGCAGCTGGTCATCCCTGTGTATAAAAAGTTTGTTCTAGAATCTGGTCAAGGAAGAACTTTGGTGTATTCAAAATTTTAAATTAAAAAAGGAGAACCTTGGTCATGAATGATGATTACATGAAGAAAGAATTTGGAATTAAGAATTGGATTGATATCAGCTGAGCTTACTTTTTTGGTTGGAGAGTCACCCTCCTTAACTAATCCTTCTACCTAAGTTGGTCGGAGAGAGAGAATCTTGTCTTCTGGGTCTGGTCCCTCATTTGATTAAGAGAGGATTAGCTGTAGCTCTTTTAATCTAATTAATGAATTAAGAACCCACCATATCTCAATCTTAGAGAGAGAGATGGAAAGATAGAGGATCTGAAGATTGTTTGTCTGATTAATCAATTGTGCAAAATCTTAATCGCTTTCTACTTATCTTGTACCGTTCTTTGGGCGCAGCAGGATGCCAAAAACCATGAGAAGTTTGCTTCAAAGACAAGAGACGGTCTGTTATATTCAGAGCACCAAACTCTCTCTTCTAGTTATTCTAATGGTACGTATTAGGAAATAGATTTCTTTGATCATTACCCCAAACTCCATCCTTAATCTTGGACAAATATAGTTAATTAACAAGATTACCTGCATTATACTATTAACATCATGATGTATTTCACAGAAAGAAAAGGAATATGCTATACCCAAATTGAAATAAAAATAACTCTCTCCATTATAGGAGGCTAAGCTATTCACTGTAACTCTCACTCTCTCTCTCTCTCTCTGGAAAAGCAAATTGCTCCCCCACCCACCCACTTGCCAAACATTGAAGCAAAAAAACTATGAAGAGACCCCAGTTCTGCATCTCACATACTATTAGAGCTATCCAAGAATTCTGATTTAATATAAGTCATTTTTTCGCCACCAATCCATTTTGTCACATACAAATCACAGAACTTGCCAAACATTGGATTCTAATGTCACTGCTCAGAGAACCCAATTCATTGTCTGCTATTTTTGTATTTTTATATGCGAGTAGAAGAAAAAAAAAGATAGAATAATTGGAAGTTGGGACATGAATGAATGGGTGAGGTCGTGAAGAAGCATTAATAAAGTAATAAATATTTGAATTTAGAAGGCTTGTTTACTTGTTTATTGGTTTCTCAGAAGAGGAGATGAGGAGAGATGCCACAGTCCACAGACACGGAGTGATAGAACATTGAAGAGAGATGCAACAACTGCATACGTTTAAGAAGGCAAGCAACATAACGCAACAAACTTCCAATTAAACATTTAAACTATCAAAATGCTGAACGACAAATTATCTGAGATTCTCAAGCTGCCATGGAAGCAAACGTCCTACCAAAACAACGAACGTTTGCGGTGATGTTTCCGACTTTCCAATCCTCACGACACAGGATGGTTCAATGCACTTGCCACGTGGCAAAAACAAAATATATATTTGTAGGGTTGATGTGGAATGGGGTGGTCTGACGTGTCTGTAAAAGGATAATGAATTGGACGATCGTGTAGTTGTTTCCAGATGTAAAGGTTCTATTGGTGGAATCCGTTTTCCATTTTATTTTGCCACCTGCATTGGCTCATTGAGATCATCAATCCGGCCCCTCCTCTCTCTCTCTCTCTTAACAGTTAAAACATCGTAATGGAATGTGTTTCCCATTTTTAGTTAAATAATGCCTGTAACAAACACGCAATCTCATAGCCCTTGAAGGAAAAAGCCCAGGGAACCCAGAAATCTGCCATTGTTGCTTGCACGATCTCTAAAGCAAAAGAAGGCCTTCTTCCCGAGGACACCTTTTGTATTTGGCGTTTGCTTTTTCTTCACTTTCCAGTTATTGAGAGTTGCAGAAAGGTATGGTCTTGACGTGTTTTATTCATCTTCCTCGATTAAATTCGTCGTCCGAAAGGTGCTTCTCCTTTGTGGGTGTCAGATGGGTTGCTTTTGCTCTTGTTTATGGGCATGGGAGCTGCAGAAAAATTGGATCTTTATCAATCGTTTCAAGTCCCTGTTTAGATTTGGATAGATAAAGAGGATCCTCCCTTTTTAGCTGGAACATCATCGTTTCTCTGGTATTTTTGGTGAGAAGGCAATTGCAGAAACAATCGATCTTGTGGATTTTATTTTCTTTCAGCATTGTTGAGTGTTGATTGGATTCACCACGTAAGGAGTGTTTTCAATGGAATCAAATACGGTTTTATTGTTCTTCCTTCTATGGTAATTGGAGTTGGAACAAAATCTTCTCGGCTTTTCATATTTCATTCAACATAATTGAAGTCGTTTTATTGAACGTTATTCATTTTTCTCTTCCGTCCATGGTTCACGTGATTGCAGTCGCATCATCATTATTTTTTTCAAGTCTAATGGTTCATTTACTTGCATATGATGATTTCTCTTTTTTTTTTTTTTCTTTGTTGATAGTTCTCTCGTTTGATTAAGATAACGTCAAATTTTAATATGATCTAGAAAAGCATGATCCGATAGGCTTTTCCCCACTCAATTTCATTTACTCTGATGTAAATATTCTACCGTTTTTGCTTTTTAAGGCATTTAATTTCTCTTCTTTTCCCTTTTGTCCTGGTGATGAATTTTCTGCAAATTATAATAGTATGAGTTTGTTGATTTTAGTTTCCATTCGTGGAACTAAATAATAAAATGAATAAATGTTGCTAATACAGGCTTACTGATATGTTCTCTTCTCTAATTATCATTCTAAAATGGATTTTTCAATCCATCATACTTCTGCAAGTGATTGACACGACGAATGCCGATATGAAGTTACCATCATGCCTAGCATGCAAAATTTAGGCAAACTATAATTGTTCATGATAGAGTTCCTTTCCTTGACAATAAATTGACAGGGATACTTCATCCCCTGTTTTACACTACAATGGACTGCAGAGATGTTCGACTTTGATAGGCATTCTCATGTGTAGCGATCATCTTCTCATTTTCTGCCTTATTTTTTTATTTTTCGCTGTTGATCACTTCTGCAAGTGATTAACAAAATGCTTAGCAATATGAAGTTGTTGTCATACTTTGCATGCAAAATTTAGGCAGAGCATAGTTAGGCCACTTCATCCTCTGTTTTCCACTACAACTAACTGCAGATATATACAACTTTGACAGACATTCTCATATTTATTTATATATCCTGCTTTTATTTTCTTTTTTTTTTCCTTTTTGTCTGTTCATGGGTAACAAGGTAGCAAGTTTATGTATGATGTATTTCTACTCTCTACTTTTCTTATTGATTGATTTATTGTTTGTTGCTTCTTTTCTAATTTCATTTGTAGTGCAAATATAGAAGTGTGATAATGTTTTACGCTTGTGTTTTATTATTGTAACAACTTTTATTTAGAGAACAGGATTTTATTCATCATTGTAGAAGCCTTGAAGCATTGGATCTTGTGGTATTTATAATTAGACTGCAGAAACTACCAGCTGTTGTGTTTTCTATTGGTCATGATATCAGTTCCATTTCATACTAGTCATTTCTCTTGTAATAGGAAAAAAAAAAACATTATATCTGTAAAAAGGTGCAATGTTGTTAAGATTATTAAGGTTTCCACTGAACAGATCATTTGGATTGATATTGCTCAGTGTTTGGTCTCAAACTTCAAGAACATAGGACTTTGCACAATTCTTTTTTTTTTTATTTAAATCCATGGGAGACCCATGAATGTTTGGAATTCAAAAGAAGCATGTCCTTTCTAACATTTCTTTTCTTTGTTTCCAGGTTGAAGGTCTCTTGAAGACTTCTGAGCTCTTTGATCTCTTTCATTTTATAATAAGATCAGTTTGTTGGTAAGTTTTGTTGATTTATCTATTATGGAAAGTTTAACACATTCAGTCCTTTATTAATTTGCAATTTTCCCTCTTGAGCATTTATACATGGGGAAAAGATGCAAAGGGAGACCAAGGCTTAAAAAGTTTGATTGAATGCTCAATAAACTTTTTGAGTAGGCAGGTTTTAAGTCGGCTGAGTTTTTGAAACACCTCCTCTGTCTCGATCTTATATATTTACAACTTTGATTGTAGGATCGTAAGTTCATTTATTTTAATTCCAGAGTTTTGGAGTCTTGATTATAATGGCTGAGGAGAGGATTGAGATGCCATTGACCCCCGATAGAACAAATCCCCAAGGTAGTTGCTTGAGAAGAAACTCAACAGGTAAAACAAGTACACCAGGCAGCAGTGAAAAAATTGACCCCCATTATCGCAGAGCTTCTACCAGTTCCTGCCATGATTTCTGTAAATATGGAAAGAAAATTGCGTTTGAATCAAAGGGGAAGCATCCTACACTGAAGACAGTTGCTTCAACACCAACTGAAGATGAAGATCTGATAAACTGTTCTACTCCAGTAGAGAGGAAAAAACCTGTGAAGCTCAAACCTTCACCAGATCTGAAAGTTAAGTTACCCAATCAAACTGGAGCTATAAAGCAAGAAAATGGAGCTTCATTATCTTCCAAGAAAATGGATGTTATTGCAAATGGAACTTCATCACCTGCCAAGAAAATGGGTGTCTCTGCAAATGGTACTTCATCACCTTCCAAGAAAATGGATGTCTCTGCAAATGGTACTTCATCACCTGCCAAGAAAAAACATGTCCCTGCAAATGGAGCCTTATCAGTTGCCAAAAAAGTAAATGTGTCTGCACAATCAATTTCATCACCTGCCAAGAAAATAGATATATCTGCAAAAGAAGCTTCATCTGCCTTACCTGCAAAACCTACTACTTTGAAGCCAAAGCCTGCTGGAGTAAAACCATCTTCATCACATATCAATCTTTCAGGAAGTCCAAGGAGTACAGGTGACAAGAAGATAGTGAAGAATGCAGGGAATTTAAAAATAGGCACAAAGAAGGTATTGGAACCTTCAACAGCTTCTCAGTCCCCTAAGCCTTCTCTTAACAGAGTTGCCAGTTTAAATACAAGAAAGCTTAGGATCGTGAAAGCAACCTCTCCTTTAAAGAATCAGAACAAGATTAAGAAAGTTCAGCCCAAATCATCCAATGATGAAGAAACCAGAGAAAAGACATTGTCTATCATTGAACCAGAGCTTGAGAACAGCTTCAAGCCAGATGAAAATGGAAACAGTACTACTCAAAGTGAGAACAGCAGTTTCTCACCAGTAGAAAATGGAAACCATACTACTGAACTATCAAAATCATTATCACCATTGTCATCATCATCAATGCCTTTTTCCCCTTCATCCTCTCCATCTTTGTCATCACAGGTGGAAGAAGAAAATGAGGAGACAGAGTCCACAGTTAGTGAAGAAATGGATTCCGCCTCTGAAGATGATGAAGCTGAAATTAAGAACCAAAAGCTAAAGTTTAGGAGTGGAAAGGTGATTAGCCCTCAGTCCGAGAATGATGTCCCAAGGAAACTCAGATTCAGGCAGGGAAGACTATTGGAGGGAAACCAAAATGGTAAAGCTGATGCTGGGAGGAGAAGCTTTAGGAGGATAGAAACATCTGATAGTAACCAAAATGGTACTAAACCTGAATCCGAAAAGGTTGTTCTGAAGCACCAAGATGCACAGGAAAAGAAAGATGTTCAGGGCTTGTTTAACAATGTAATTGAGGAGACTGCAAGTAAGCTCGTTGAGAAAAGGAAGAGCAAGGTGAAGGCATTGGTGGGTGCTTTTGAAACTGTTATCTCCCTCCAAGAGACAAAACCTCATACTACAACCACTGGTTGAATTCCAAGGAACGCCTCTCTTTTCTTCCACCTTACATTTAGCTTTGTAAAGAATAATCTGACATAGACAAAGGTTTATATGAAAACTGAAAGCTTGTGAAGTTACTGAAGTGTAGATGAAGAGAGTTCAGTGGAGGTGAGAAATGAAAAGAACTGAGGTTTTATATTTGGTGATTTGACATTATCACATCTGTGTTTGTTGGTATGGTTTTTCTTCTTTTTCTCAATTTTCTATATTAATGTGATCGATTGAACTCATGTTTTATCAATGAGGCTAATCTTACATCTGTAATTACATTATGCAAAAATAAATCCCAATAGTTTTGAGTGGGTGAATTTGTTTTTATCTTACTTCTGGTGCATTTGAATGCTCTTGATTTTGCAGAAGCCTAAACAATTCGTTTAGAGAAGGGATCAAAAAGCAACCTGGAAATCTCCCACTGCCCGTGACCGTGAGCCACTTTCTACATTGGTTTCTCTATTCAATATACTATTTAGTCTCTAGCATTCCGGCTCCAATGGGTGGGGTGGTTTCAGAGTTGATCCACCACCAACCCATCGAAAGCCTTCATCAACGGCTGTTAATGATCTATGAAGCTGCTACTATGAGTCCGACTCCCAACCATCGTCTCTAGATATGTGCCGGAGACTTTACTACACCGGAGTGGGAAGAGGAAACCATGGCAGCTTACTTCTTTACTATTACTTCATTTATATACTGATACAAATGCATGGGAGAGCAAATGAAAATAACATTATCAACGGCTTTTAATTGCTTTTTTTTTTTTTGTTTCACTTTACTTTGTTTCAGGTTTCATCTCGATTCATCTGCACTATAAAGGTGTAAACAAACAAGATAGGGCGAAACATGTAGCATTTGCAGTCAAAAAGGTTAGGATTTGGGAGCAAGGGTAATGACTAATGAATAAGGGTTAGGGACGCAGAGATGAGAGGAGAAAACAAAACCGGTGAATGTTTTTAGACTCTTAGGTGGGTGGGACCGTGGGAGGAGGGTTGATGCATTGCGGCCATTGGAGCAGCGCAGTGATTGCCTCGGTAGCAAAAAGGATTCAATGGTTGAATAATCTTGCATTCCTAGGGACCTGTTACAATCTAAACACGTTAATGCTCCATCCACTCCAGTAAGAAACGGCCATTACCCAGTGTTGGTTCCAGCTACAGTCGTCATTCTTCAACTCCAATCGGGATTCTCACGCTTGATAGCACTCTGGATCTGCTATCCACAAAATATTTTCACATCTCTACCCACAGTAGATTTTAACCCACTTGTAGGGTGGATTCAAGCCGAGCCAAGCCGAATGATACGAGGTTCAAGCTCAGCTAGAGATTGTTCTATAAGGCTCTAGTTCGATTTTGAGAAAAAAATATTTTATAAAAATAAAAAATTATATGTAAAAATATTTTTTATTTTATAATAATTATAATATTATATATATATATATATATATATTCGAGCTTGGCTCGTTTCATAATCGAACCAATGAATTGGGCTCGAGCTCGACCTCAGTTGAAACCGAGCTGAGTCGAGCTCGAGCAACTCATGAAAAGCTCGGCTCGTTGCCACCCCTACCCACTTGATAGGAGTTTGGATATGCTCCTCACACAAAACGTCTCACACCAACCTCACAGCATATCCTGGCCGTATATCGAGAACATCTTCCATACTTGTATTTATTATTCATGGAGAGATGTTCTCAGTAGAGAGTGGGATGTAGTTGTAAGGTCAGTGTGAAGTGCAATCTGTGAAGAGCATATCCCATAGCCTGAGATTTTGGAAGTGTTCTGTAGTGTGGATGAGAAATTGGTGGGTGTAGACTGGTCCACACCACACCCTTTGGTAGAGATCAATCCACACCACATCGTAGTTCACAGTTGTTTTGAAYTGTAGATAGATTGTGTGGACCCAACCAACCCACACCCACGGTGGTGTTTTGTGCCATACTTTTTAATTTCATGTATCTTATATACATTTTATGGGAGATCTACATGTATGATCATAAATGTCTAATTTTTTGCATTTTATATGATAAATAAATTTAAAAAAAGGCATCAATATGTAGACAACAATTGCATTTTTAAATAATTAAAAAATATTATTTTAAATATGAAAAAATAAAAAATATATTATTTTATTAATAAAAATATTAAAAATTTAATATTTAAATAATGAAAAAAGAGTTGAGAAGGAAAGCCGTCGAACTTGTGCTAGAATTAACATTAAAAATTATTATTTTATTGATAAAATATTAAATATTTGAAAATTAAAAATTATTAAAAGATTACATAAAATGAGAGTAATTGGACCAATATAACGTAGGTGCATTACACTGAAACTTTCCCATAAATTGGCGATATCATAGTATGGACCATCCAGAAGAAAATACTATGAACGATAAATTTGGGTGTGGTCCATCTTTGTCCATGCTATTCTATGAATAGGGACCGTCCATACATAACAAAATACCATATCTTACCATGGACAAAATTAAAATAGTCCCGTCCATGGTATTTAAAACGCCAACTTTATCATTGCAGCAAATAATGGCCCTTACATGTGGTCACATAGGTCCGAGTACTAGTTCTAATATCGTGTCAAAAATAAAACCTTACGATATCCATGTAAAAAAAAAGATAGAATTAGTCATAAGCGACATATAGTAACACTTTAAAGGGTAGTCATGGAAATTTCGTAAAAGTGATATTTAAAATTGAATAAGTGTGTGTAAATTTAAAAAAAAAAAGGAAAAACTTGAAAGGAGAGTAACAAAACAAATGACGTACGTGTAAGAGACATGAATGAGACATATATAAGATGCTGGATACCGTGTCCATGCTAATCACATTCGCGAATTGAGGGACTTTAGGTTTGGAGAAAGAAGCAAAAGCATTACATTTACATTCAAATTCCAGTAGGTGTTACGTATGGATGTGTTTTACTTTTATGAATGTTCCATATATGGTTTTCGAATCGCCGCTGACCCGAACAATTTGGACTATTTGACCTGGGAATCGTTCAGGCAATTGGTTTCGTTTTACCCTAAATCTAGTTTTTATCTAAAAACTATTGAATCGGTTAATGATCCGTTAACTTAGGCAGTCGAATCGTTGATTTGTTTAATATTTTTTTGTTGTTTTTAAAATTTAATTATTTTTTATTTTTTAATTTATTTTGTGAGAATGGGCCAGCCATTCAAACCAGATGGTTGAATTGCCAACCCGAAAACCGGTGGTCAGAACAGCTCTAGTTCCGAGTCGTTTTTTAAAACATTGGTCTGGCATCATCAAAATAATGTGGCACACTGAAATTTGAACAAGTATTTAATAAATCTGTCATTTGCATCTTACATTTGTGCTTGTGAAACGCATTGGTGCCTAACACATCTTACATTTGCATCTCATTAGTTCACTAATGACTTGATAACAAACATGCCCTAGCCAAGAATGAAGCCCTAGAGAGCAGAATAGCTGAATTTGATAACTATTTTACTGTTTGTGGTACCAATATTTGATAGCTGTTTTACTGGTTGTAGGACCAATGGTTTTGCTCCACATCAGCCATAAATTTTATGTGGCCGACAGTCACTCAGGTTGTGTTTGGTATCGTTGTTGTTTTTACTAGAAATAATTTAGGGTTTATCAATATAAATATTTGATAGAATCGGCCTCTTTTTACATTAAAAAAAATCATTTCTAGTATTAAATGCAGGTATCATTGCCACTTTTTTCGCAAAATGTCAAATTTGATGTTTCTATTATAAATGCCAACACCGATCCAATGCATACATTTTTGCATCGATAAACTCCAAAGGTAAAAAGAACAATGATACCAAACACAACCTCAATCTTTCACTTGTATTTATAATGGGTGTGGAACAAAATGGTTAGTATCACACAGCTTGTAAAACAGCAATCAAATTCAGCTAATTCTAACTCGTCACTAACTTCTGGTATATATATATATATACGGAGAGAGAGAGAGAAAGAGAGAGAGAATGACCCTATATTAAGTATGGGCAACTACATCTATACATCATTTTGTATTTTTGGTAATTAAATCATGTTTAATATAGTTTAAAAATCTTTATAATGAATTTTTTATTTGAATTAGAAAATTGAATTACAAAGGTTAATATAGTCCCATCCTTTGGAATTGATACTTTTTTGTCACCTCAAATCGGCACCCAGTTACTGTAGAGCACATGCCACCAAAGAATGTCAAAGGCCCCTAAGTGATATCCCAAAGACATAGGCTCCAATAGTCTAATTGGTAATGCCAAAAGAAGAGAAGATGAGACGAAGAACTCGTAAACATGTTGGCCTAGAGACACAAACAACCAATTCGATACTTCCTTGGAACAAATTGGTCTAGACGCTACCAAATCCTCGGAAGTGAGAGACATCTGATACGATCAAAACCGTTTCACTATCACGTAGCAATCAGATTAGGGGCAAAGTGGCCAATTGACCTTACATTACCTAAGAAGGTCAAACCAATCTGGTTTGGTCGAACCAAGTCCAATCAACTTGGCTGAATTTATCCGGATTGGCCAAGTCAACCTACCTGAGCTCACCTAAGCCTAGTCAACCTGGCTTGGGCGAGCCAATCTGATAGTTTGATACCACCAACTTATGGCACGTGGCATGCGGCACACCTCATTTAATGCCCAACCACATGGTGTCATGTTTGGCGATACGTACAACAAATGCAGTTTAACGTAGGAAAGCATTACAGAGCCTTCACTTCGTCCTTCAATGGCCACCTTGCTTATAAATAGGCAAAGTGGTAGGACGTAAAACTCTCTAACACATTTGCACTCTCTCCCACCAGCGTTATTAATTTGACCATTGAAGTCCACGCTCTGAAGATATCACCCTAGGGCATATTCTCTTTGACCCGAGGTGACACCTCATCATCTGAGGTCTTCAACCAAAGTGACACCTTCCAACCTCTCAATTAGCATATTCTCTTTGACCCGAGGTGACACCTCATCAGCTGAGGTCTTCAACCAAAGTGACACCTTCCAACCTCTCAATTGAGATCTTCAGCTGTCTCTAGCAAATTCTCCATTTCATCCTTGTTGCAAATTTTGGCAGCAACACATACACACAGAGGGTGATCCTTCAGATTTGTTAGTAGTAATAGCCAATGAACTCTCAGATCAATGGCTTATGTAAAGCAGGCGACATCAATGGTAACAGTCAGCATGAGAAGGGGAGGAAGGGAGAGACTTAATCTGTTCACGGGCCAGGCTGTGTCGGGTTTGGGTCGGGTTTGCCTTTATATGATTGGGCTGGGTTCAGGCCCAAGCCCGAGCCCGGCCTAATCATTGGGCCTAGGTCTTGAGCCCAAGCCCAGCCCGACTATAAAGCCCGAAGCCTGGGCCCAAGCCCAAGCCTGACTAGAAATTTGGAAAAAACAAAAGATTTTTCCTTTTTAATTCAATTAAAAGTTGTTTTATTTATACTAAAAGACCTCAAAACCTAACAAAATAATGAAAAGTCTCATTATTACTTCAAAAAAAGAGAAGAAAAGTATTATATATATATATATAAATGTTTTTTATTATATAAAATATATTTTTATTAATATAATACATTATCAAGTCAGGCTTGGGCTCGGGCCGGGATTTTTTGAGAAAGCCCAAGCCCAAACCTGACTAGAAATTTGAAAAAAAAAAGAGAGATTTTTCCTTTTCAGTTCAATTAAAACTTGTTTTATTTATACTAAAATACCTCAAAACCTAAAAAAAGATAATGAAAAGTCTCATTATTACTTGAAAAAAAATAGAAGAAAAATATATTATATAAAATATATTTTTATTAATATAATACATTATCAAGTCAGGCCCGGGCTCGGACTGGGCTTTTTTGAAAAAGCCCGAGCCTGGCCTAGGAAAAAGTCGACAAGCCTGACTTAGATCAGACCGGGCTGGGCTGGCCCGTTGAGCTACCCGGCCCATGAACAGATCTACCGGTGATAAAACATGCAGCGGGCCGTGTGGATTCCTTCCATTTCCTTCTTCTATTCTCTCACCATGATAACATGCATATACAAGTGAAGGAAGATACCCTAATATTCTGATTTAAGGGCTTAGATATTTTAGTAATAGGATCGATTCAACCAGATGGTAGAACCAGTGACCCGTCATCACCCAGAAATTAAACAGGATTGCTCACCAGTAATAGGATCCATGCATACACATTGATCAACACACCCCCTAGTTTGAAAAGAAATTGGTTCTTAAGACAGGATTGCCGTAATACAATTAATATTGCTCAGTTTGAAAAGAGTACAAATACAAAATGTATACACAGTGCAAATACATATAAAATAATACAAAATAAAAGGCTTTGCACTCTATATATTTATATTTGCACGCATTCTTCCCAAATGGAGCCTAAGAGACATTATCTGTGAGGTTGCACTTGGAAACGATGCAAATAAGTGTGAATATAAATATATATAATGTAAAGTGATTCATATAAATTGTAAAGTTGGGTTAGTTTTGCACTGACAAATTTATCTTCCTATCAAAACAGACTTTTAACTGTAATAGATGCAAACACGAATTCCAATAAAACATATACATTTTTTTATTAAAAACCTACTTGAATGCAAATGTACTTCCTTTTTATTAATGTATTTTTACATCTTATTATCAATGCAAATTTATCTTGCAGCCTGAGGAGAAGTTGTACTGATCAGGTTGTTGATGAGAATTGAGTCTCAGGGCTATTTCCAAAATAAATAAATAAAATACAGAAAACATGTTCTTGGTTGTACTGTTTTTCGTTTCCAAAATTGAAATTAAAAACATACTCATGAATTAATTTATGGTTTAAAATGCATGCGTTCTTCATATGGTGATAGATATCATGCTTTTCAGTTTATACTATCTGTATTCCAAGTTTCGTTTCAGTTGATTGTTAAAGAACACACTCCTGATTAACAATTAACAATTAACAATCGAAGCTTTTAACTGGGTCATTTACAGTTGTTGATTTCACCATTAATTTCTGGCAATACCACTGTCTGGTTTTTATTTAGTAATTGTAGTTTGATGTTCCAAATTGAAACAACCAAGCAAGTTTGGGTTTGATAACTTTGGTTAAAGCATTAACCTTCATTTACACATATTAGGCATTAATTAATTTCTCTCTTTGTCTTTCTGCTTGTGGTTCTTATTTCAAGAGGTAATAATATATTATTGTATCACAGTGGTCCAGGACTAGCTTCTTTACACGCAGATTTCTTCCCAAGCTTGCTAAAAGCTTGCGAGTGTTGTCGATACCAACACAACAAGGTCCAAAAAAGCATCTTCAGGCTCACTTACAGATCAAGGAATTGATCTACACCGGCTGCTTGCATACTGAAAGTGTGGTTGAAAAAGAAGAAGATGCCATAGATTTTTCTGAACCCCATAACTTGGTGGAGAGAACACAAATCAGACTGTGTTCACATTGACCCATTAAAGTCTTCCTTTAGATATGAAGCTAGGACAGTTCATCCGTCTAAATTGATTGACTATGACAAATCAAAAGAATCTCATTTCATTGAATGAGAAGCAAATTAATGGTCCTTCCTCACTCATCCACTCAACTTAATTTCATTTTTCAATATTCATCAATTATTAAGGGGGTGCATGTTTAAATTTTTATATAGTTTTCCTAATGAAAATTTTTGAGTTTGTGCACATTTTTACATAAACATACATGCATCAAATGAAACCCATATATCAAATTGAAAACTTGTTGAGTTTGTGAAATGAGAGCCATGCACCAAATGGTCACAGATCTTGCCCTCTACAGCTACAGGTCCATTTCAATGAACTGTTCCATTATAGACCATTGCTATGGTCTATAACTGATTGAAGAATATATTTGCTTTATGTCTATGCCTCAAATGTAGCCTGATATATATCAAATCTTGTGGATTGAGCCAGATGTAGATCCTTGTAGGAGGAAAATGTGGGGTAACAAGAATCACAAACTAGGAAATGTTATCTCCATCATCAGGTCCCCTACATAGCTTTACACATGGAGAAAATAATACTACTACCACTCATTTGAATGCTCTAGAGGAACTCATTTAAAGGCTGGGAATTAAATGAGAGCTGGGACAATATGAAGCACTATTCTTTGCTTTGCCTTTGTATAGTATGTGACTTACATTTCAATGATATCGATCACTGTCATTGACTAGTGGACACTAGCAAATTAAAGCACGTACTACCTAATTAACTTTCTATTGATTAGTCCCCCTCCCTGTGTCGTGTAACTGGCCAAGAAATTCTTTTTCTAGCCCTCTTTATGGAAAGAAGGGGTTTATCATTCCTTACATTCTTTCTCTGTTAGTGTTTGGCTAGCTACACATTTTTACCTCAATGTAAAATATTGCATGGACATTGAAATATTTTAGCTATTATTTCCTCCTCTTTTGTTCCAAAAACTAAGTGAAAGGAAAGCAAAGCTTAATTTCATAGCAAACAAGGAACTATATAATTTAGGAGGCCTTCTTTATTTGGATTTTGAGAGGGGGGAAAGTTTATCAATGGGATTTTTGTTCCCATTGACCAAAAATACCATGTTCATTTTTTAGATTAATGTGAGGATCAAGGAAAGTTTATTTTTCTAGGTATCCATTTCCTAAGTGGGTAAATAACTTTTTCACCTAAAAGAAAAGTTGCTAACACTTGAATGGGACAAAAATACCCCTTTTAATAATGGATTTTTATGACTAAAATGACCATTACATTATTTACTTGAGAAATAAAAGAACATGGATAAATGCACTTACCCAGGTAAGTGTCTTCCGGGAAAAACTTACCCAGTTAATTGCATTTACCCGGGTAAGTAACTTACCGAAAAACGAATAGGACTAAGATTTTTTTTTCTTTTTTGCTTTGACTTTAAACGCGTAGAATTAATTAGAGACCATCTCATGATAGAATGGTTATAATATGTTGAAAATATTGCCTTGGGAAGTAGCAAGAAACCACTTATAGCTAGTCCTTGGTCTTATCAACAATAGGCGCATTTATTTTTACACAATTATGTGTTTCTCAGTTCTTATAGTAGTACTTCACAAGAGATAAGACATAATGCAGCAGTTGTACGCCTATGAGGGCTTGCTTGTTGCCTGTTTTGATTGGTTGGCCTGTTGTCCAAGCAGTGCTGCCATCTTGTTGTAGAGATCCATGTTCATAGACTGAAAAGGACACAAACAAGAAAGTAAGAAAGTAGATAGATCATAGAAGTTGTTCAAAAACAAGTGAGGATTTGTATCAGACATTAAGGCTAAGTTTGGGAGTGCTTAAAAATAAGCACTTATTTGAGAAGCCCAGATTTTGGGCTTATTTTCAAGTGTTTATTTCCTTTGTGGGCCATCTTGGCCCACCATGTCTTTTTTAAAATACCTATACTACCCTTGTTTAAAATAAGTGCTTTTTCACCAAATGTTTGTAAGTGCTTATTAGAATAAGCACTTATTTTTCAAATAAGCACTCCCAACCTTGGCCAAAGTAGAGACTTACTTGAACTAGAAGGGCATGATAAGGATCATGCATAGGAAATGAAGGGTTAGTAGCACATGGATCCATGGTTGTAGGTGTAGTCATATGTGTAGGCAGTAGAGGAGGAACAAATTTGGAGCTAGCTGCTGCAGCTATGGAGGCAGGATGAAGCAGCGGAGGGATGACTGGTTGAGCAGCGTTGGTGTGGACGATGTTGTTCATGTCCTGCAGAGCAGATCCCATTCTCATTCCAAGCCCCATCCCCATGCCCATCCGAGCTAAGAGAGACATCTGGAGATGATGATGATGATGCATCCCCATGGGCATCATCATCTGAGGCATGTTTATGTTTGCAACACTCATTATCTGAATTTGTGCTTGGAGTTGCTTCATATACTCAATTACTTCGTCAAGCACTGAAGCCTTATCAGTCTGAAAATTGAATCAAACAAGCAGCATCAGAAAGAGGAAAATTAGGATATTGAAGGCAATGAATTCAATTAGTTCAATTTTATATGGATTTTGAAACCCATAAAAAACTGTAGAACCTGTTAAAAATAAAATACCCAGAATGGCATAAGAGCATAGAATTAATAATAATTTTGGCATTTACAATTATACGTGTGGACAGAAGAAAACTTAAATCCTTTTGTTTCTTACCTTACTTGAATTTGGTACCAGCTTTTGCAAAGCTTTCATTTTCTGATTGATTCTATCTCTCCGTCTCTGTGTAACCCAAATTAAACATTTGATATACGATCACTATCAGAAGAAAAGTTAAATCCTTTTATTATTATTATTATTATTATTATTATTACTATTGGCATCTCTTCAATACTACTGATTTTAAGCTGAAGTTTTACGCAAAATGTTACCCTTTCAGACTGATTATGAACTGTAGCATCTCGTTTCTTTGTCGAGAGGGAACAATCCGTTTCCACTTTGGCCTCCCGTTTGCTCTTCTGTGAAAGTTAATTACAACCAATGGAATGAAAACAACCGTATACAACATTCTGATTTCGAAATTCAGACTTGAGGAATGCTAATTAACCATGAAAATATGATTAATTTGAAAAAAAAAATCAGATCAGTTGGTATAATCTTTAGTCATTTCTCGAACTGAAATAAAAAGCAAACCAGTATATATAATAATAAACCAGATTAAACACTTCTACATTCCATTTGACCATAGTACTAGTAATGTAATGAGGTGAAATCTATTTACCGGTAGTCCCCCAGGGCTAGCTGAGCCCTCATCGATGGTTTTGGTTTTCATGCTTGAAGGGGATTCAAAGGACGCCCATGTCATCATAGTCGTATCACTCTCCCGGCAAAGCGTTGCAATGGCACTAGCACTAGCACATGCACTACGGTCTGCAGTCTCCGCTGGAAATCTGCATCTACTCTTGTCATGTCTTCCACATCGGCCAGACTTTGACTGCAGGGACGATCGCTTCTGCATCGACTCCATCCCCCTCTGGACTTTGCCAAAATTACCAGAAGATTGGGTAACAGGCTTGGCATCAGTCCAAATCCGATTGCACTGATTGTGATCAGATGGGTTTGGTTTGTGGCTTGTGGCCTGACCGACTATGGACTCCAGTGTGTCGCCCGCCGCCTCAGCCGATGTGGGCTTCGTCGGAGCAGTAGGAACAAGATCACCCAATCCATGCACGACCAGCTGACCGTTCTCCCATGTCAGCTCTGCGAATTCATAGTGATCAGTTGACCTGAATTTCAAATAATATATATATATATAGGTCAGTAATGGCTGCACTCTGTGATATGGTTCAGATCAAGACTGTATCTGTGTATCATAAACATAAATGTATCTTGTTATAAGAGCAGGAATGTGTAGTGTAGATCGGAACTGATCGAATAAATGATATATAAACTAGCTAGAGGGTATTAAATTTAGGGTTTATTTGATTTGTCAACTTAAAGAGTTAGGTATTCCATTATGGCGAGAAGAAAAAAAAAGTAAACAATTAAGTTAGAATCGAAAAGCAAAGAGAGGCTAAGGGAGAAGAAAAGATATTCTTTCCCAAGTAAAGTCAGTCTACTCAGAAGATAGATGAAGAAAAGAAAGTGGGCAATTGACAGAGAAGAGAACGAGGAGGATGATACATACATAGAAAAATCAATACAATAGAAATTAAAGGAGTGCAAGTAGACAAAAGTTAAATTCCGGTTCAGTGGGTCGGTGTAAACAGAAAGGAAATTAATGTTCTTTATTCCTCAGAAAAAAAAACAAAAGCAAAAACAAAATGCCAAGAAGAAACGTTCTTCGAGGAAGATTTCAACTTTTCGCTTTTAACTCAGAAGCAAGTCTGCTTTAAGTTCAGGTAGCTGAAATATGGATGGGAGGAATATTCACAAAAGAACATCAAAGGAGAGGAACTCAAAAGGTTGGATTAACACCCAACTAAGGACAACCCATCATTGTGATCAGAAAAGGAGAAGGAAAGAAAGTGAGGAACGAGGAAAATACATACACGAACTCAGAAGAAGAAGAAGAAGAAGAAGAAGAAGAAGAAGAGTATTTCCTTACATGGGACAAGACGAATGGGTCGCTGGGTGTGCACGTGAGAAGATCTGTTTCCTGCTTCTCCTCCAACCTGTTCTTGTCTTTGATCTTAGGTTCTAGTCGAGTGCTCCCTAATAACTCATGATACCTCTCTCTCTCTCTCTCTCTCTCTCTCTCTCTCTCCTTCAAATGGTGAAGAGCTGGAATTGAGTTGGGGTGGTCTTATTTCCCTTTCTTCTTTTTGGTTTTTATTGGTGTCGCAATTCGTCTCTGATGGAGACTTCACAAAGAACATGTGGTGGCGAAGAAAAACCGAATGAAGTTGGATTTCCTTCCAACTTCTCTGGTACAAGTGTTCAACTATTTGTGAAGAGAGTGTCAAGGCTATTAATTAGGTCATTTATTTGAATCTGGATCTTCAGCCCATTAAGAACTCTCCTAATGCACGGAGATAGTGTTTTGTGGGAATTCTTGTGGGCTTGAGATCCGGAATTCATTTATTTAGCCCCCATGGATTGAGGTTAAAAGACTTTTCTAATTTTCTGAAAAATTTTGTCCTTTTTACAATTAAAATATATAAATTAATATATTACACAACTGTACCAGAAGATTGGATCTGGGGCCCCATAATTAGGATGAGTGGGATCCACCAATCAGTGGACCCCAACAGCTGGGCCAAAACCTGTTTTGTTTATTATAGTAAAACTCTTTTAAAGCTTTGAAAATGATGTATGGATATTATTAGGTAGAAACCGTAGAAGTTAGAATCCATCCGGTTATGGATCAGTATTATATACACCACTTGCATGGTGACATGGTAAGTTAGGAGGGTCCCACATGTACCCTCGGACAAGAGTATATATATATATATATATATATATATATTGTTGGAATATTGGATATCAATATCAGATTATTGAATTCATCAATTTGATTACTTATTTCTGATCCTTCACAACCTCTTATTTAAAGAAGAAAAATAAGTGCTTAATAGAAGTTGACTATTCAAATCAGGTCCATTTACAGCCCTGCTCGAGCACTTGTTGCTTTGTCTCTTGAGTACCAAGGGCTAGTGAGCTACAGCCACCAGGCCCACCACTGCAACTTGTTATATGGCCAGACGCATCCATGAGCTGGCTTTTGATTCCTTAAAGCATCTCAACTCCCCTTAATTTCTCTTTCACTTGCCATTTTTCTTTTTCTTTTTATTTTGTTGTCACTATGGCCCCATTTGTAAAATATTTTTTTTTTATTTTTCGAATCTATAAAATCTCAGTTATTCTCGGCCCATTTTGTAGAGACATCAAGGATTGGGTTTGATATGGATTTGCCTTTGCCATAGGGATGATAATTCTTTCCATCAAACTGGATCTCCATTCTAACTCAAATGAGTCAGGTAGGAGAAAATATTTTTGTGTTGAATCAGGATAGGGTGGAAATGGGGTCTGCTTATAATCTACCTCAAATGTGTTGAATCAGGAAGAAGAAAAACCAAAATAAACATGAAAAAAAAATCATTAACTTCAAAGTTCAAAGTTATGGGATCAGAAGTCATACCAAACGCCAAGAAAACCCAAACCCAACCTGAACCCAATTCAGGTTGAAGTATCAAAACCCTAACTTGACCTGAATCTGACTCACGTTGAAACATCAAATCCCTACCCAAATAAGCTTGACCTACAGGGTTGAGTTAAACTAGGTTTAATGTTTAACCCAATCCATTGACATCTCTACTTTACGATCAAAAAAATTTGAGGCAGAACTTCTTTTAAGCAATATATGACATTTTTATTAGAATTCGGATTATTTGAACACGATGGCTGTGTAACCAATGATAACACCCACTCACAATCATTCAATCCTTCACTGTGCACCCATGTATTTTATGACTGATGTGAAGTGTTATCACTGATTTTACACCCTGTTAAACAGTCAATGCGTTCAACTAATGTATTGTGTATCTCTTTAGTTATATACTAGCAGAGGGAGCCCTGTGTTGCAGGGGCCCGTTCATAAGCTATCAGGCTCAATTTGAATTAGAGACTTGAGCTCGAGCTCGAGCTCGGCTCGAATCAAAAGCTCAGAAGTTCAAGCTCGACTACCTTTGATTGTAGGAGGTCTCTCAAACAATCAAAGTCTCCCTCAATTGCCGAGGTGCCAAATCGAGGTCTCCCTCAGCTACTGAAGTGTTGAGCTGAGGTTTCCCTAATAGGCAAGGTGTCAAGCTACGGTCTCCCTTAGTTGACAAGGTGTCGAGCTGAGGTCTCCCTCAATTGTCAAGGTGCTGAACCGAGATCTCCCTCAGTGATCGAGGTGCCGAGCCGAGGTCTCCCTCAGTAGTTGAAGTGTCGTCTATCTCAAGTTCGATTCGAATTAGAGACTTGAGCTCGAGCTCGAGCTCGAGCTTGGCTTGAGTCAAAAGCTCAGAAGTTCGAACTCGGCTACCTCTGATTGCAAGTCTCTCAAGCAACTAAGGTGTCGAGTCGAGGTCTCCCTCAATTACTGAGGTGTCAAATCAAGGTCTCCCTTAGCTGTTGAAATGTCGAGCTGAGGTTTTCCTAACAGGCAAGGTGTCGAGCTAAGGTCTCCCTTAGTTGACAAGGTGCTGAGCTGAGGTTTCCCTCAGTTGTCGAGGTGCTGAGTCAAGATCTCCCTCAGTGACCGAGGTGCTAAGCTGAGGTCTCCCTCAGTGGTCGAGGTGTCGTCTAGATCAAGCTCAATTCGAATTAGAGACTTGAGCTTGAACTCAGAAGTTCGAGCTCTGCTCAGCTCGAACTCGACTACCTTTGATTGCAGGTCCCCTAGTAGCCAAGATGCCGAGTTAAGGTCTCCCTCAGTTGGAAAGAGAGTGGCATTCTTGTAATTTATAAGGAGAGAGAGATGGAATTTTTGTAATTTGAATGAAAAAAAAGCAAGAGAGAGAGTTGATAGGAGAGAGTGGCATTCTTATAATTTGAAAGGAAAAAAAAAGCAAAAGAGAGAATTGGTAGAGAGTGGTATTCTTGTAATTTCTATGAAAAATAGGCAAAAAACACTGTTAGATTCCATTTGCCTCATCCTCAAGCCTTCTTACGTATACATTTCAGCTTAATATATTTACTAGCGGAGGGGGCCCTGTGTTGCAGGGCTCGCTCATAAACTATCAGGCTCGAGCTCGATTCGAATTAGAGACTTGAACTCGAGCTCAAGCTTGGAAGTTCAAGCTCGGCTACCTTGATTGCAGGTCTCTCAAGCAGCCGAGGTGCCGAGCTAAGGTCTCCCTCAATTGCCGAGGTGCCAAATCGAGGTCTCCCTTAGTTGTTGAAGTGTCGAGGTAAGGTTTCCCTAGCACGCGAGGTGTCGAGCTAAGGTCTCCCTTAGTTGACAAGGTGTCGAGCGGAGGTCTCCCTCAATTGTCGAGGTGTTGAGCTGAGATCTCCCTCAGTGACCAAGGTGCCAAGCTGAAGTTCAGAAGTTCGAGCTCGGCTCGATTCGAACTCAACTACCTTTGATTGCAGGTTCCCTAGTAGCCGAGATGCCGAGTTGAGGTCTCCCTCAGTGGCATTCTTGTAATTTATGAGAGAGTGAGAGATGGCACTCTTGTAATTTGTAAGAAAAAGAGAAAGAGAGAGTTGGTAGGAGAGAGTGTGCCATTCTTGTAATTTGAAAGAAAAAAAAAGGCAAAAGAGAGAGTTGGTTGAGATTGGCATTCTTGTAAATTCTATGAAAAAAGGCAAAAAATATTGTTAGATTCCATTTCCCTCATCCTCATGCCTTCTTAGGTACACATTTCAACTTAATATATTTACTAGTGGAGGGGGGCCTGGGTTGCAGGGGCTTGCTCATAAACTATCAAGCTCGAGCTCGATTCGAATTAGAGACTTGAGCTCGAGCTCGTTTCGAGTCAAAAGCTCAGAAGTTTGAGCTCGGCTGCCTTTGATTGCAAGTCACTCAAACAATCGAGGTGCCGAGCCGAGGTCTCCCTCAATTGTCGATGTGCCAAACCGAGGTCTCCCTCAGTTGTTGAAGTGTCGAGCTGAGGTTTCCCTAACAGGCGAGGTGTCGAGCTAAGGTCTCCCTCAGTTGACAATGTGTTGAGCTGAGGTCTCCCTCAGTGGTCGAGGTGTCGTCTAGCTCGAGCTCGATTCGAATTAGAGACTTAAGCTTGAGCTCAGAAGTTCGAGCTCGGCTCGACTCGAACTCAACTACCATTGATTGCAGGTCCCCTAGCAGCCGAGATGCCGAGCTAAGGTCTCCCTCAGTTGGAGAGAGAGAGTGGCATTCTTGTAATTTAAAATGAGAGAGGGAGATGGCAGGAGAGAGAGAGAGATGGCATTCTTGTAATTTGTAAGAGAGAGAGAGAGAATTGGTAGGAGAGAGAGTGACATTCTTATAATTTGAAAGAAAAAAAAGCAAGAAAGAGAGAGAATTGGTAAGAGAGAATGGCATTCTTGTAATTAAAAAAAACAAAAGAGAGAGAATTGATAGAGAATGGCATTCTTATAACTTCTATGAAAAAAAGACAAAAAAAATACTGTTATATTCCATTTCCCTCATGAGGAGGCCTTCTTAAGTATACATTTCAGCTTAATATAGATATAAATATATTGCATTGGTTGTATAATAATTTTGGTCTAAAATTGTTAATATGAACATTCATGCATGAATCTATGATTCCTCAATCTCTTTATTTACCAAGACTCAGTCCCATTCAGATTGAGTTTGGCTAAGTAATGTTACTTATCCCCGATTTGTTAATGATTTGAGTTTTAGGATGTGGAAAAAGATTAAGGCTATGTTCGTTTTCCCTGAAGTGAAGGGGGAAAGTTGAATCCCATTGACCAATTTACCTGTGTTCGGATTTCAAAATTTTATGGAACTTACCACTTCCCCGGGTAAATGATACCCTTGCGAGACTTGGGTAAGTTGATTTCCCGAGTGGAGGGTAAGCAGATAAAAATAGAAAATCTCGATATTGCCCTCAAGAGATATAAAAGTTCGAGACTCTACCTCTCCGAAAAATCACCTGTGTTTCCCTCCTTCACTTCGTTCTACTTCTCCGAAAATCACCAACCGCGTTTCTCCTTCACTCCTTTCTTCTTCTATGCCATTATTTCTTTCAGACAGAGAATGCTGAGTTCTGCTTTTCTTCTATCGCTAATGTGTGTCTTTGAGTTCTCTGCATATCTCTGAGTCTCTCCTCCGAAAATCACCTCTGTGTATCTCTGAGTTCTGCTTCTCTGCGTTTCTTATCCGAAAATCACCTCTACGTATCTCGGAGTTCTGCTTCTCTGCCTTCGCTGCTGCTACATCAAGTCATCAAAAATGCTGAAGAGTTGCCGTCGCCGTCCTCCATCTGTTGCCGGCACCATTGATCATCCCAGTTGTTGTCGCCGCTCCGTCTAGTTGCCGTCACTGGTCATTTTTCCTCTGTTTTTCACTTGCCGTCACTGATCATCCCAGTTGCTGTTTCTCTTTTATTATTATTTTATTGATTTCCTTTTTATTTTGATTTTTTGTTTCCAGATTTCTTGGATCTAGTATTTTGGTTTTTTAATCAACTGTGATACCTAGAGTTTTCAGAATCAGAACAGAAATAATTCTTGTTGTAGAAGATCTACTCAGTGAATCACTGTAAGTAGTTGATTAATTTTGAATTTCCAGATGACATTGTCTTGTTTTCTATTTCATGAAATTTGCATCCAATTCTGATGGCTTCTTCATTCAGTATTCAATATCTTCTAATGGATTTTGATTAGGCTGAAAAAATAAATATCTTTTTTTTTTTAATGAAAGAATTGATTGATAAAATTGGCTTAGATAGCCCAACCTACTATCTGGATTGAACTGAGTTCACTGATGGAAGTTCGCATGCTATTTGATTCATAGGCATAAATCATAACCACTTTCTCTCAAGTTTTGCACTGATAATGCATAGGCTGCAAGTACATGGCTGCATCAACACACAGATTTTCCAAATTCAGAGACATTTAATGCCAATAAACTGGTACTTTGGTACTAAACTCTAGTTTGGTTTTGGTTTTTTGCATCCAAGAAAACCAAACCAAACCAGGATTTGGTTTTCTGCATCCAAGTTACAGCCCAATTAGAGTGGAGACGTAGGTGAAATTTTTCAATGTTTTCTCTTTGGAAACTACATAAACATCTTGTAAGCCTCTTGGCAGCAGTTGTATTACAAATTCAAAGAAATACCTGTTATTCCTAAGAAGCCAGGAATGGAGAAATTAGCTTCTTCTTGAATAGATTTGAGTGCATTTGGCTAAATATCAAAGCCACACATGCCCTCCTAAATTCTCCTCTATCTCAAAGCCACACTTCGATCCTGCGCTAGAAACCCATGGTGGTCTTACAGGTAATGCTCTAAGAATTAGGAGCTGCTCCCCTGTCACCATGGGGAGTTAGGGAACTGAGATATGCCTAACCTCCAAGCCTTTATGCATCAAAGTTGGCTTGGTGAACTATGGTGGAAGAAATAACAGTAAGAATTTTACTGATAAAAAAAAACAGTAAGAATTTAAATAAAAAAGTTGGCCTGCTGATTACCATATTTTGAGAAGCTAATAAGGTCATTTTCAAAACCCATGTTGATGGCATTAACACTCAGAATTTACATTCTCAAAAAACATGAGACAATTTTACAAGAACTCATGGAATATTGTTTGATAATTTACTGGTTTGGTCTGAAATCTTCCCCAAACTGAACCATGAACACCATTAATATTGATATTGGCATCTTTTGTGTTTAATCTTGCAATATTCTAGTCTCACATGAAGTCTGATTGCATGTATGATGAACTAAAACATTAAAGAAATAGAATTGGAAATAGCACTTACACATCTTGTGGCAAACATGTCAAACTGACAAGTTCCCATTCTTTAATGGCTTGCCATGTAGCACACAAAAGCTGTACATATGTGATTTATCTGTTTGCATCAAAATAAGAATAATAGAATAAACACCAAAGGTTGCAATCCTGTTATAATATTCCAGTTTCTTTATTGTATTGACAGTGTGATCTAATTAACTTGTCTTTTTTTAATTAATTTTGTTGTTTGAACTGGTGTGCTCTCAGCCCTCCACCTTAGTGCTGCCAAGCTATATTCCTTCATAGATTTTCTTATATGTGTGTTCCTCATGCCACATCTCCATAGGATTACAAATTCAAAAGTT